AGGCTATAACACTCCCACCACGTCTCCTAGTATAGGGAGAAGACTGGGCAATGTCCATTTCGCTTTGCATCAGCCTCCTGAGTGGAAGAAATGCTCAGATCGAGGTGGAAACTGACCTTTCTCTTCGTGAGTTGATGCTGCAGGCACGGCATCTGCTATATGTAAAAGGTGGTGCCAGGCTGTTGAGCAGCTCGGGAGCCCTGCTTCAAGGCAAGACTGTTGGCGAAGCTGGGCTTGCAAGTGGTGATGTCTTGACATTGCAGGTCTGCTACATCCGTATAGCAGCAGCAAGCGAACTGGTTTTTGCTGGTATTCGGGGCGATGGGTCTGTGGTCACTTGGGGAGAGGGCTGCCCTGAAAAGGATGATGTCCCAAAGCCAAAGCATTTGAGGGGCGTGCAGCAGTTGGCAGCCAACTCCCTCGCCTTTGCTGCCCTTTTGGAGGATGGTTCCGTCATGACGTGGGGTAAGGCTGAGAAAGGTGGGGACAGCAGATTTGTCGAACATCAATTGGTAGATGTACAGGACATCAAGGCCACCAGGTATGAGGAGGACGTCTTCACGGTCGAGGGAGCCTTTGCTGCTATACTGCAGGATGGTTCTGTTGTCGCTTGGGGCGCAGAAGATGCCGGGGGAGACTGCAGCGAAGTACAGGCTCAGCTGAAGGAGGTGAAGCTCCTTGCTTCCACTTCCGGGGCTTTTGCTGCAATTTTGCATGATGGTTCCGTGGTAACATGGGGATGCGATCTCAAGGGGGGCGATTGCAGTGATGTACAAGACCAGCTGCACGATGTGCAGCAGATCCAAGGATCCGACAGAGCTTTCGCAGCCGTAAGGGGCAACGGATCCATCGTGACGTGGGGCGACGGAGACTGCGGTGCTAATTTCAGCTGCGAGGCAGCTTACAACGTGCAACAGATCGCTTCAACGAGCCACGCTTTCGCAGCTGTTCTGCAAAACGGGTCCGTTTTGACATGGGGTGACCCTTCTTGTGGCGGTGATAGCAGCAGTGTCCAAGACAGGTTACAGGATGTACAGCTTGTGGTGCCTTCGAAGAGCCAGGGCTTCACAGGTCTCTTTGATGGGCAAGCAGCCTTTGCCGCTATCCTCGGAAATGGTTCTGTTGTCACCTGGGGCAGTCTTGATTGCGGTGGAGATTGCAGCAATGTGCAAGACAGGCTTAAACATGTAGAGCACATCGCTTCCACTTCTGGGGCTTTTGCAGCACTCCTACACGATGGCTCCGTGGTAGCTTGGGGTGATTTACGTTATGGGGGCGATTGCAGCACTTGTCAAGACCAACTGTGCAACGTACAGGAGATCTGTGGTTCTAAGTATTCCTTCTCGGCTTTGCGCGCCGACGGGACAGTTGTTGCATGGGGAAGTCGGACGTGCTCTTACCGGCAGACTTTGACTGCTGACCAGCTGTTTGACTGAAAGCCTTGCGAGCATGTATGACTGTTTTGGGGTTGCTGTTCAGGAACTTGAATTAAGGTACCATAATGTGGCATAGGGGTAAATACAAGATGACAGGGTTTCCTTATCACAGGAACTTAAGTTCCTTAATATCAGCCCAGATGATGGAGGGGCCCCGCAGGCAGTAGGAGGTCTTGTAGCTGAACGGTAAATTCGCAGGTTGACAATGACATGTTCGTACGCTCAATTCGTTTTCCTTATTTTCTGAGTCTAAGACAAATCCACACCCATCTTCGTTGTGGCTATGAACACACCATCCGCTAAACCGTGAAACCGTATGTAACCCCAAAACCATAAACCGCACATCCTAAATCTTAAGCCCCGCATCCTAAACCGTTAACTTGAGACTATCGAGCTGTCGCAATCGAAGGGTCTGCCCCCAAAGTCAGTACCAGGTGGCTGGAGGAGGTCATTTGAGTAGGCTTCCGCGCTTGGGGATCAAGATTTGGAGCTGTAGACTTTGTAGGGTTCATGCTTGAAGGATTTGCGCGTCTAGGATTTGTTTTTGTTGACCCGTAGTTGCTATTCAGGATTGTTGTTGATACTATGAGGTAGGTCCTCAAAACATGGCCTTAGTAGAGTCATATGACTACTGCAGGGTCCTGATTTTACGGTCATCATACTCTATCATAAGGTCCTAGCACTTACCAACATATTCTAATTGCATCACTTCGTGCCGCCGCTCTTGTTGCCCATCCGCATGGTGATCAAGCCGCATGCCATCAAAAAAAGTGCTCACAACCCGATATTTCAATCAAAACCACCATGACACCAATTGATGTTGCAGCCCGTACTTTGCACACCCCTTTATAACCCTTTCGATGGCTCTATATCTGTACACACAGATATGGAGATCTTTATCATAATCCCTAAAGCCTAAACCTTAAGCCCTAAACTACATAGGAATAGTTATCAGAGGCTCAGGAGGATCCCCTGAATCCTAAACCATAACCCGAAAACTGCTATGTGAGTTATGGAAAGAGGTTGGTTTCATCTACGGTTTGATGCAGCCCCAGGATCCTGTAGCATACCGTCAGCTTCAGCAAATTATGACATATTAGAGCATGTCGTAGTATATTATAGTGAGTAGTTTGAGCGTGTTATATATGTATATATAAGTATGTTATATGCTAGAACTGGAAAATCCTTGGGTTCAGGCCTTCAGTTGTGGGTTTAGGCCCAGTTTAGGCTTTCGGGTTAGTTGCTTTCCAGAGCCGGCGCTCGTCGCTATGGCATTCCTTACCGGGGTCGACTTGGAGGGCCGACTACAGGCCGTGAAGACTGGGAACATGTGAGGGGGGTTTAGGGGTTTAGGGTTTAGGGGTTCAGTGGTTTAGGGGTTTAGTGGTTTAGGGGTTTAGGGTTTAGGGTTTAGGGGTTTAGGGTGTAGGGGTTATGGTTCTCTACAGTTGAGGGTGCCACTTTGGGAGTTCAATAGTTAGGATTTCAAAGTTCTGCGGTCTGGATTGTGGAAAACTGCCATGTAAGTAATTTCGAGGCCGCAGCTCGCCTAGAGGTCACACAAGCAGTGCAATCTTCATTGCAAATGCCACACCCGCAGATCCAGTTTTGAGAGGCCTCCAGTTTTCAACGATCTGGAGGTTGAAAGGTATAGTCCCGCTTAAGTAGATAGAATATGGGGTATATAGGGATCGTATTATAATATACCCGAAGCCATATTCTATCTACCTAAGGGGGACTATACCCTCCGATAGATCGCCTGGTAAGGGTATGTAATACACAGGGATGGGAGTATGTTGACATTGTTGGGATTCACCCTTACCTAAAGAAGCCTTGTTCCACGTGGACCTTTTCTTCAAAGGGCAGAACCCTAGACTTGGGTCATTCCCCTCAGTACCTCTCCTCAATACGTGCTTAGTAAGAGGTTATACTTCTGTTACCCGTGGGGATAACCGTTACTGGAAGGGAAATGACAAAAGCACTAACTCCTAAGCCTTTGCGGTTCCTGGTCAGGTTTAGGATTTGGGGCTGAAGGGCTTCCAGCTTGGTCCTGGAGGTAGCTTCCATGTGTCCCCTAAACCCTAAGCCCCTAAACCTGCAAAGCGTTCTTCGGGAGGCCTAACCTAACGGAGAAAAGGTCCCATAAAAACAAAAACTAAAACCCTAAACCGCGTTGTCCCTGGGGCTTCTCGAGCGGGGCCTGGCTGCGAGGATACTAAAGCATACTTAGACCCCCGCCGATACTAAATGTTCCCTATACAGTATATAATAATACATTGGGCACATGTAGTATTAAGGGGTGGGATTTTTGGTATCAGGGGGTTGTGATTCTCACTAAGGCTATTATCATAACTGTCACGACAATCATGACCACATTCTGGATTGCGTTCAGGCACTCAAATTAAATTACCATGATATGAGCATGTCGTAAGCAAGAGGGTTTCGTTATTCAAGTTCCCCCCTGAACTGCAGCCAGTAGCTATTAGCATTTTCAGCGCTTGTATTGTTACTTCTGCTATGATGATTATTCTAGAAGAGGATGCCCTCTTGTAGGGCTTAGGGTTTAGGGCTTACGGCTTTACAGCAGCTTAAAGCGCTAGGGCAGGACGGGATGACTAGGCATCATCCTTTGACGTGGATGAGCTATACTGACCCGAGTGTTTCCATACAGTAGAGCTTCAAAGTTTAGCGCTCAATTTGAATTCAGGATTGTAGGATTTGAGGTCAGGTTTGGGGTCCTTCTATTTATGGAAGCTACCACCTCACCCCACATGGCGGCTAGCAAGCAAGGAATCCCAACATGCCTTGTTTCCGGTGTTGGAAGGGTGTCTGACGCAGCGACTGGACACCATGTTTTATGAATCGTGTAAAGCACTCGGGTTGCCGGGTTGCTGTTAAGGAATTTAGTTTAAGTTAAGTACTATATTGGGCAAATCATATGGGGATGGGTCTAAATTCCCTACAATACGGGGTCCTATATTTGGGTTCCCATTATAATACGGGGTCCTATATAAGTTTCCCCCATTTTGGGAACAGTAATTTAGGGAAACTACCATATACTAAGCATTTGTTATACCCATTAGAGTAGCTTAATTTCAGTTCCTTGACAGCAACCCAGGTTGTTGGAGTTCCTGACAACGGAGTCTGCAGACATTAAGCGTCCCTTTTTGTGAGTCCGGTTCAGAAATGATGTTTTTTGGCAGGCATTAGATCAAGAAGTTACCCGTTCAACGCGCCCAAGGCTCGCAACCAAAGGGTTTGTTGCTTTGGAGAGAGTTTCTCAAAATTGGGTGACATACCCTCAGGATGCTGTTGATGAAGAGGTCCCTGCCTCCAACACTTTCCGACAACCTGCCGAAACCCCATAGACCCTTCTACTTCCATACCACAAACGTCTGAGACCCTATTCAGTGTGTTGTGACCAAAAACTCACAACCCTCTGAATCCTTCTCACCCAAAAGACTCTTAATACTAAACCGTAAACCCAATACTAACCAATACCCACTAAATCCTAAGCCCTAAACCCAAAACCCACTAAACCCCAAAATCCCGTATATCTCGGAGGATCATTCGCAGCTCGCCCTGCCAGCACCGCCCAGGCCAGACGTTTGAGAGTTGTTTTTTGGTAATGCTGGGTTTTCGGGTCTTGGGTTTGGGGTTTTCGGCTTTTAGGGATTAGGAGTTTATGGTTTAGGGTTTAGAGTTTTAGGGTCGAGGGTTTTAGGATTTTTGGGCTTAGAGTTTAGGGGGATGTTCCAAAGGTGACTTGGGGAAATTATGTAGGGATCCTATAGGTCCACGAGGGAAAAGGTAGGAAAATAATGTTCCAGAATGGTCATGTGGGGAACCGGCTTTGTGACCAACTACCATATGAGCTACGGACTAAACTTAGGTTGGGGGGGACCTATAGGGGAATATGTGGGGTTTTAGGGGGGACCTATGAAGGAATATGCCAGAACTTTAGTCCAGGGCTCATATAAGGATTACCTTTTCAGGCCATCAGAACTTTATCGCTGAGAAGCAAGTCACAATTGTTAGACAGGTGTTGGACCGTGTAGACAAGGAAAATTGCATTCAGAGTGGTCCCTAGGGCTTTAGGCAGGGTTAGAGTTTAGGATTTACAGTTTAGGGTTTGGGGTTGGGTCCTTAATTTTTTTCGGAAGCCTGGATCCCCTTTTGCAGGATCTAACTGAAGCCAACGAGACCTACTATACCGATCTTCACTGTAGGGACTTCCGGCAAGCTTGGGCTCCACCCATGGCCGCTGTTTCATAGATGCCCTAATGTTCCTCCCAACGTTTTGTCCCCTAAGCCCTGAACTCTAAACTTTTGAAAGTCCTGGTGCAGGCGGCGGAAAGCGAGGGCGAAGCGCAATGAGGATAGTCCCTCATGCAGCGCTTGCCTTGCACTTCTCAGGCTATATGAGGTATAGTCTAAACTCCTTGAAGGGGGGTAAAATAGGGGATTATATAGGGGACTACTATAGGGGATATTAAGGGGGATACTAGGAGTTTAGACAATGGCTCATATGAGGTATAGTCTAAACTCCTTGAAGGGGGTTATACAAGGGAGAATAATGGAGGTTATGAAGGGGGATACTAGGAGTTTAGACTCTATAGCTCATATAGGGATTATAGCCCCTTATCTATACCGCTGTTCACGGGCGGGAGCCTGACCCACGCTATAGGTATGTAAAAGCGGATTGCCGTTTTGAATCGTGTCGGGGTGGGGGTGGGGCTTTTGAGATGCAACATGTAACCGCTGTCATGCAAGCTGGGTGACAAAGGCCTTCTGGCTTTGAGAGCCCCTACACCCGACACTTTGGACTCATAGCTTCCAGTTTTCCATTCCCCTACAGATATATAGACTTACATGACCCCATATATGATCCTACTAGACTTACATAATGTCTATCCCGACTCTGAGCCCAAACCTGCACTTCCTTAAACCTGAATCCCAAGACTCTAATCTTTAGATTCACCCCCAAACCTAAGACGACTGGCGCTTAAGGTGGAGTGGGGGAGTCAATTTATAGGTACCATGTTAGGGGTGTATATGGGGATTATCTAGGGATTTTTGTAGGGATCCACTCCCCCACTCTCCCTTAAGCTCCGGCAAGCAAAGCCTTATCCTAAAATCTATCCCAACCTTCAGACCTACTGTAGAAGCCTGAATAATCAATCCTTTAATCATGGCATAATGTACCTCAAAACCCGATTGACATGGTTCTGTACAGTACACCAGATATTTGTGAGGATGAGCTCTTAGCCATCGAAACGCAGCCAGCTGACTACAGTCACGGTCCCAGCTTGCAAGGAGGGTGATAGGTTTTGGGGCTTCAGGGTTTAAGTCTAGGGATTAGAGACTTAGGCTGGGCCCTAAACCCTAAACCCTAAACCCTGGAGTCTGGGCATGGTTCGGAAACTCTTGTTGGAATGCTGAGAACCCTAACTGCAGAACCCTGAGCCCTAATTGCTCAACCCGGCCCTAAAACCCCAAGCCCTAAATCCTAAGTTCAAAGCCCCAAGCCCAAAACCCTAATCCCGAAACGCTAATCCCTAAACGCTGATCCCTAAACCCTGATCCCATAGATCCCTTTAAGAACCATGCTGAGCCCTAAGCCCTCCCTAAACCAACTCCGGTCCCTATGACACGCCTTAGGAGGTTCAGCCCAGGGCTAAGGGCTAAAGGCTAAAGACTGAGGGTCTAGGGTTTAGGGTTGGGGCTCCAGGGGTTTTAGGGTTTTGGGTGCAGGGGTCCATGCCTTGTATCCTAAGCATCCTAAATCTGCAAACTCCACACTCGAAATCCTCAACCCTCCAGCCACGCATTCAACCCTAAGCCAAGTGGGAGCGTCTCCACAAGATCCCTATTTTACGCCCAAGAAGGACCCCCACAATCCCTGATATCTCCCCATGACCGCCCCCTAACCCTCCTCCATCCTAAACCGTAAAGCCTAAACCCTAATTCCTAAATCTCAAACCCCACATCCCAAAACCTTACATCCTAAACCCTAAATCCTAGACCGTAATTCCTCAACCCTAAACCCAAAACCATTCTGGAGGAAGTCCCAAGTCCCAACCAGGTGAGCCATAGTCTAAACTCCAGAAAGGGGATCATATATTGGATCATTTAGGGGAGTGTTATAAGGGGTTACTAGGGGTGATACTAGGAGTTCAGATTGTAACCTTGATAATTCCCCTTATAATCCTAGGTTCCCATTTCATTTTCCATTTCCTTTCCATTTGATTCTCCATTATTACGGAGGATACTAGGAGTTTAGACTATAGCCCAGGTGAGCTGCTTATCCTAACCCCCAAAACCATTCTGGAGTAAGGCCCAAGTCCCAACCAGGTGAGCCATAGTCCCTTAAAGGGGGTCATATAGGGGAGTGTTATAGGGGTGAGCCCTAAACCCTAAACCCTAAACCCTAATCCATTTTATTTTCTATTATCCAAATATAACCCCAATATATACCTTATAACCCCTATATAGCCCATTATAGCCCATTATAGCCCAGGTGAGCCCTAAACCCCTAAACCTAAACCCCTAAACCCTTAACCCTTAACCCTAAACCCAAGCCCAGGTGAGCTGCTTAGGGAAGCCACAAAGCTGGAGATTGACGACTCGCTCGAAGAGCTGAGGATGGCAGAGATTTAGGAGTTACCGGGTTTGGGGGGTTTAGGGTTTAGGATTTGGGGTTTAGGGTTTAGGGTTTCGGGCTTGGGGATTTAGCTGTTAGAGTGTTGGGGGTTTACGGTTTAGGGCTTTTAGGCTTTGTTAGGACTGGGTTCTTAGGCTATTGTAGGTAATTAATGGTTAAGCCTCACTGGGGGTCCTAAGTGCCACGTAGTAAGATGTTCCCCACTTCACCTCCACCAGGGCATTTCATCAAGGGTCCCGCCAAGAGGAAAGCGATCGCTACATAGCCCCTTCCCAAGCCCTCTACTATTCATGCATGCGAAAGCTCATTTTGAGCAATCCGCTCCGGCGAAGGTGATTAAATTAGAGTGCCCCCGAACGCAGCCTGGTTTGGTGCCCACGGCGTTTTAGGTATACGGCTTAGGGAGCTTTAGGGCTTCCTCCTCTCTCATAAGACGATTTCAGACTAGGTCGCGGCACTCCCAAGTACAACTAGCTGGGTAGTATCCTACGGCACCCTATAACTGTCAGTATAGACAAACAAGACTATTGCTTCGTTCGTAAGATGGCTACTCAGCTTCTTAGCTTTGAACAAGTCGTTTTTGCGGCTTCATTTTATCACGCATTATCTGGTGTATGGAATGTAATTGAAAAGTACAAGTAGAACAACACTGCGAAATCCTGCGCTTCATACAAAGACGTCTGAAGAATCCGGGCTACAGGCCCTAAGCCAGAGAGCATTCAAGTTGTGGTCAGGTAATGTGGGTGTCCGAAAACCGGCAGCCTCAAACAGGAACCGCTAATTTTTGGAACACCTCCTAAGATAAGGGCTTAAGCCGCTCCCAACCATAGTGGACGTCGCTTGTGCCGACCTCCATATGCGACTTTAGGTATTCGGGTTTAAGGTTTAGGGTCCTAAACCCTAAACCCTAAACCCCATCGCACAGTCACAGGTATCATGCCCAGCACTCGATCTGCTCTCCATGGAAACAGTGCTGGTCCCTAAATGAGTACTGCTTCCCGGCCAACAGGGGTTCGCTGGAAGCATGGGATTTGGGTCCCCAGAGAGCCCAAAAGAGTTCAATTAAGGTATATACCCCAAATTCTACTAGGACCCTTGATATGGTTTAAGGTATATTCCTTCATTAGGCCATATTGGGCTCCCTGGGTCTTGGGGGTAGGTGCTGACAAAAATTGCGAAACAGGACCGTGGCAGGCAGGCGGGACTCCTTATGGGCCCTGTCACAATCCTGCCATAACAGCATATATGCCCTAGGTTTAGGGTTTAGGGTATATAAGCCATAGTAGTTTCCGTTTACTTTTCCATAATGTCTACATGTACAAGCATGTCGCACAGCACCATGCGCTCCACGATGCCTACATTAGTTTAAAGTCAAGAGCCGCGCACCTCAAGCTCAACCTCCGTGGGAAGGCGCATGATCAAGAGAACCAGGAGCAATATGGACTGTCAAATGAAGGCCTTGGGGGGCGGAGGGGGACCAGGGTGGTGGTGGGAATCGGGGTTTAGAGTATTTTGAGGTTTAAGGCTCAGTTTTCACAGGTGGTCTAGTTAGTCTGGTTGCATGCCCCTGATAACCAGCCCTCCATTCTGTCTGTCTGTACCTTTCGGGTTGCTGGAAGATTCAGGATGTAGATTTATTCGCTTAGGGTTTAGGGTATCCCCCCTCACACGAGCATGGAATCTGAGAAAGGGCCCTGTGTAGATCACTGTCCTCAGAGGTGTGGGGTTCCATGTGAGTTGGAGGATAAGTCGGAATCTTGGTAGCATGACTTGCTAATCTTTGGTGGTTCGGGGGTCAAACTCGCGTTTTTGCACATTTCACAGAATATAACCGTGTAATGCATTATTTCACTCTTTAATGGAAGTGGAGTGGAGTTTCCACTTTCTTCTCCAATAATCCTTATATAACCCCATATATATATATATATGTATCCTTTTATAATCTTGTAGTTTCTATTTCCTTTTCCATTCCTCCTATATGCCCTATATAACCCCCATATAGCCCCTATAGAACCCCAGTGACTGCCACAAAGCATCCGGTGCAACTCGTAGGATCGCGGTAGGTCTTCTGTGTAGATGCTGATGGACGTAGTAGAGCACAGAGGGCTGTTTATAGGCTTCCTACTGGGTTTAGGGTTTGGGGTTTAGGGTAGGGTGTTTTATTTGTTGTTATTCTTGGTGCTGGTGGGTATACATAGGGTTCCTCATGTCGGAAGATTGATGATGAGTGTACATATTTGGTGTCCAAATTTGAAGGGCCGCTCTAAGTCCAAAGCCTAGCAGACATGAAAAGCCAAGCCCGAACCCCGAACACCCTAAATCCTAAACCCTGGATCCCAAATCCTAAACCCTAAACCCTAAACCCCAAACCCTAAACCCCAAACCCCAAACCCCAAATCCTAAACACCCTAAACCCTAAACCCCAAATCCTAAACCCTAAATCCCTGAGGTTTAGGCTTGAAAGATGGCTTGCATGTTGATGTTAGGAAGCATGCAATCCTTGTTTGCAAGTCCTCAACAGTTACGCCAAACCCTTGGACGGCCGCAAACCCCTGAGTTTACCAAAATTCATATCCTCCCCCTAATATTAAATCCCCTCATCCCCCCTAATATTAAATATTACCATTGTGGTATATTTATAATATGTTGGGAATATCTAAAATTGGGAGGGGTGAGGGGGTTAATATTAGGGAGATGGAATGAAGAGCCACGAACCAAAGGATGCAAGCGATTCGACCCAATTGTAAGAAGGCTGAAGCTCCAGTGTCTCAAGGGTTCAGGGTTTAGGGTTTCAAGCAGCTCTACCCAGCCCCCTTAACCCCTAATAATCGCGTAGTTTCCCCAACGTAGTCATGGGTTCATATTGGGGAGGGTCCTTTTTTTGGATCCTTTAGGGGGTCTGGGTAAGAAGGCACATGCATGGAATGGATCCCCAAGAGGAGTAGAATGAAATGTTTGTGAGGATGACCCATATTTGTGCTCGGAGCTTTTTCTTAATTGGCTCGACCATCAAAACTGTGTACCCCCCAGATATTCCTCGAACCATGAGACCGCTTCTTTGAAAAATCTCAAATTGTGTCAGGTCTTAGATGGTTTCATTTCCGACGTGAACCATCTCAAGGGCAACGCAAGGCCAGTACGTGAAAGAAGCCGTCTACCCTCCCCAAACTAGCACGGGACATGACCAAGGGCTCTTTGTAGACTGCTGCCCGTTTAAGCCGTAAACCCTTTGAGAGGGAACAAATATGGGCCGTATTAATTTGAGGATATGGGTTTTCACTGACTTAGTATAATACAGGACGCTACGTGTAGGCTGTTGTTTAGGGTCGAACTCAAAGGCCAAGGATCCTAGTTGCAAGTTGTTCCGTGAGATTCTGGCAACATTGCCATAAATCATAAACCCTAAGTCCACAACCTCCAAGCTCAAAACCAGGGGCCCCTAATATGGTCGTTTCCCTTTCCGAACCTTGAAGCCCGAGACCCTAATCCGTAAACCCCAAGCCCTAAACCCTACACCCCAATCCCTAAACCCTACACCCCAATCCCTAAACCCTAAGCCCTGAACCCGAAGCCCCATACCCTAGAATCGCTCCAAAAGGCTGAGGGGCTTAGGCTCTAATCTCGGGAAACGGCAAGCAGTCTCAACCAGCCCTTGGTAGTTGCACGGTTTAGGGTTGAGGGGTTCAGGGCGTATGGGCTTAGGGTTGAGAAGTATAGGGTCTACGATTTAGGGGTTTGGCGTTGAGGGGTTTTGGGTTTAGGGCTTAGGGGTTTTGGGCTGAGGGTTTAGGGCTTGTAATTTGATGGGTGCAAGCTCTAGGGCTCAGGGGTTTAGGGTTTAGTAGTTACAAGAGTGCTTGTGAGGGTTTGGGTTTGGGGCACATACCTTTCTGGTCATGGTGGCTTGCTTTACAAGCCTCACTACCCCTACACTAGAACCCGAATAGGTAGCGATGCTGTTCCTCAGAACCCTGGTAATAGAAGCATAGTCTAGTACATCCCCAAAACCGAGTCTAATTACTTGGACTCTTTCCTTAAGCCCTGGACCCGGACCCGAAACCTGGAACCCAATCCACGAGCCTGCAAGTACACGGCTGAATTCTAAAATCCCATAAAGGGTTCCACAGGGTTATGTAGGGGCTTTATATATTTATGCAGGGGTCATTTAGGCATAACGGAAAAGAAAATGGACACTACTATAAGGGTTTGAAATTTTGGTAAAGATCCACAGTCTTGTGTGCAGGTTTTAGAGTTTCAGGCTCAGGGGAAGGATTTGGGTTGACGGCTTAGGGACTCGAACCATCGGGCATGAGATTTCAGATTTCAGATCCTAAGCCGTAAGTCCCAAATTTCCATATCACGATAATTTCTTCAGGGGATCCTTTAACAAACCTTATACAGGGCCCAAACCTAAACCCTGAACCTTAGAGCCTAAACTTTCCTAAGCCCTTAACCTTGTAGGGGTATAGAGCCTAGCTGGGCAGGAACTTCGATGGAGACGGCAGCATGCCAGCGTACGATGCTCAGAGGATACCCTCCGCTGTGTGGGGTTTCCAGAGGAAGGGTTTAGGGGTTAGGGTTTTAAGTTTAGGGTTAATTCTGGCCTTCACCCAAACCAGCATGGAAAGCTTAATGTAGAGGCCTTTCAACTGGACGCGGGCGGTAGTCTTTTATATTTGACAAAAGGATCTGACTTGCCCCGCAACCCAACCTTAGGACCCTATAGCTATCGCATGCGTAGAATGGGATGCTGGATTGCGGGGTTGGGCTATGAAAATTCTCTCAACTTCCTAGAGGTTCAAAATTGCCTCGCGGGCTACAAGGGAGTTCATAGCCTCACTGGTGCTTGGGGGAAGAATGGTGGAGTAGACCTCTACAATGATCCCTATAGAAATCCTGAAATCCCTTGCCAGTAGCAATGAGCCCCCCTAATAACAAGGGTTCTCCCTAATATATAACATGACGGAGCTATATTGGGGGGGGGGGGGGTTATACTGTTACCCGACCTGATGACTGATCCTTCTCGAGATGTCAGTTTGAGCATTACACCTCATTGACGTGCTAAGGTCGCATAGCACTGGGCTCAGGTTTGTTCAGCTTCTCGTTCAGCATTTTTCATGTTTTGCTCAAAATAAAAGGGCTGTACCCGCATGTGACATTCACAGAGCACGATTGCCTACGGCTAGAGATCCAATGGCCGCCTGGGGCCATAACCTTCCAAGCACTCTTTGAACGCAAGCCATGCTCCACGTTCCGTTACGAGCCTCCTAATCTTTTGTAACCTGATCCAGAAAACCACGCTGGTGTCTAAAGAAGGGAATGGGGGAATGGATTCCTATAGCAACAAAATCCCCCTAAACCCTACACCCTAAACCGGATTCCCCAGCTGCGACCCTAAACCCTAAATCCTAAACCCTGCAGCCTCTATTGAATCCTGCAGCCTACAATCTACACCCAAAAGCCTACTCAAACCCTGAACTATAAACCTTTAACCCTGAACCCTGCACCTTAAATTTTAAACTCTAGTTTACGGCCTAAACCCGACACCCTAAATCCCAATCCCTAGCTTCCAAACTTTAAACCGTCGACCATACACGCTGAACACTCCTCATATGTCCCGGAACCTTTGAAGCTATCTTCTGAGGTTGCCACCAAGCAATGAGGCCGTGTTCAATTCCCAGCCTCCAAAACATATGTTGCTTAAAGGGGGTATAGGCTATGTGGGGATATGGAGGGATACCTCGGGAATATGGAAGGCTTATGTGGAAGGCTTTGTTTCCAAAAATGAAAACTCCCTTTGTGGGGATTAAACCGTGTTATGTAGGGATGTTATAGGGTTTATTGGGGGTTACATAGGCGTAAGGGCTCATGTAGGATGTCGGGCCTCGGTATTATAAGGCATCATGGTTGGAGCTTCAACTTTCTACGGTCGAAATTATGTTTACAAGCGGGTTAGGGCTCACGGTGTAGGGCTCAGCTGATACATGAGCTATAGTCTAAACTCCTACTATCCCCCGTAAGAACCCTGACAGTAGTTCCCTATATACTCCCCTATATGATCCCATTTAATTTAAGGAGTTTAGACTATGGTTCACATGTGCTGGAGTGTTTCGAGAATGGTGCTCCACTTTCAAGGCCAGGAAGGCAAGAACTCCCAAAGTTTAGGGCTGGCAAGTCGGACGGTTGACAGCTCCCCACTCCCACTAATCCTTCATAAGTAGTAGGAGGGACTTCTGCTGCATGTCATGTGGAAGGCTCTCAGAATTACTTCTATAGAAGCCATAATGAGGGCCCTCGGTATGCTCACCTGACCCCACTTGAAGCTTCATGTGGGCCATAATCTAAACTCCTTCAAGGGGTTATATAGGGAAGCATGAAGGGGATACTATGAGTTTAGATTATCGCCCATGTCTGGATATAATACTAAAGTCCCCTAAACTGGGTTGTGATTGAATTCTTCTACCTGTGCCTCACTTAAGGCTACCTGTGAACACCGAGCGCAAGCCCTTGACCCTGCAATTAGCCTAAACCCCTGCCCTACTAAACCCCAAACCCTTCACAGCCTCAAATGGATAGCTCCAGAAGAATACCGCCCATAATCCTTATAATTGATAGGGCCCCACAATCCCTTATAATTCTCCCGCCTTTGAGAACTCCCCATACTGGCTCTTGGAGCAGGCCCATCCGCGACCTGCACTAAAGGCCTCGTTGCCTCGGTTGGGGCTAAAGGAAATCTGGGGTTATAGGGGTGAAAAGGAGGGACAGGGGATGATAGAGGTTGAGGGGGTTTATGGGGTTTGGGGAATTGGCGGGCTGGAGGTTGGGGCTCAGAGGCCTGGAGTGGAAAAGCACAGGTCGGTTGGGGGGGGGAGCTTGCCTCCCTAAACCCTAAACCCTAAGGATCTTGACAGGGATCCGCCCCTAAACTCTGAACCTGAAAGCCCGAAACCTAGAGCACCTGGAGGAGTTTGTTTCTTGGGGTTACAGGGGTTTATGGGAGAAATCCCATACTTCCTATGAAGTGCAAAGGTCAGAGGACTTCATCCACAGTAGGCATTTACGGTTTGAGGGTTCTTGGTTTGAGTTTCAGGGCTTCAGGGGTCTCCTTCATTTCGAAAGGCGTCTACTTTGACGTCTTTCCCATCAGCTGCTGAGCAAAACCACCTTAACCGTGGCTATACATTTGGTCCTGGTATCCACTTAGGATGGATATTTGTTGAAGTTCTCAAAGCTTCCAAGCACATGGTAAGTCCGTTTTTGTTGTTTGCTCTTCCATTTGAGGAGCGTCACTTCAGAAAAACTTTCGCAGAAAGGGTGCAAGATGTGGAGGTCCAGAATGTGGGGGCCTCGTGTTGGTAGCTGCTGTATTGAGACTTCCGGTATTTTGGGGCAGAAGGGGAAGCTAAATCCTAAGTGCTAAGCCGGCAACCCTGATTCCTAAGTGCTATAAACCGAAACCCCAAAATCCCCAGCACTATAAACTCCAAGCCCCCTAAACCCTAAACCCACGAACCCTAGCCTCATAAACTCCAAGCCCCAACCCTCAGCTCCCTTGACCGCCCTGTAACCCCCCTTAGAATCCAAATTCCCTACAAGGCGGAGCTTCCCAAAATAGAGGGACCCAGAAAATGTGGACCTCAGAAAATTCTACTCCTTATCATGGGGACCCCCAAAAGGGTATTAGGGTATTCCTTGACTAAACCCTAAACCTGAAACCATTATACCCCTATTTTAGGGAAACCCCCAAATGCATCCTTCGGGTTCCAGGCTAGCGCCTCTTCCGGAGCTCTGACGATTGGCGGTGAAAGCCTTGCGCTTAGCAACAGAATTGCTAACAAAGTTCGGCTTTAGGGTTTAAGGTTTTTAAGGGGATGCCATATAAGAGAACGCATGTGAGGGTTTCCCAAAACTAGGCGTCCTTTTGGGGGATGCTCCTACAAGTAAGGATTGGAGTATTGGGAGGTGATATTGCCGTTTAGGGCTCAGGGTTAGGGAACTCGGACATCCCCCTCGACCCTAAACCCAAAACCTTCCCAAAGGTCCCCAAACGTCTTTGAAATTTGGGCCCCTTTGGGCTTTCTTACGCTAAACCCTAAACACAAAACCCTGAGGGGCTTTCCTAGAATTAGGGTGCTGGGTTGATATTTTGCTGAACCCGGAGTTCGAGACATGTAGGGTGCCTACATTGCTGGATTCTTGGTTCAAGGTTTAGGGGTTTAAGGTCCCTAAACTTTGAACCCCGAACCCTCAACCCCTGCAAACAGGCATGGCTTTCTGGCGTGAAGTGTGTGGCGTTCTTGAAGATGAGGGATCAGCATTTCAAGACTTCAGGCCCCTATCAGCAGATCACAGTGGCAGGAACCTCACCTTGAAGTATTTAGGGTTTGGGGTTTAGGTTCAGGGTTTAGGGTTTAGGTTCAAGGTTTGGGGTTTAGGGTTTAGGGTTTAGGTTCAGGGTTTAGGGCGTAGGGGTTAGGGGTTTAGGGGTTTGGGCTTCAGGGTTTAGGCCATGGCCATGGTTTTGACATACCCAAGGGTCAGTGGAGCATGCGGAGGCGTGGCGAAGTCCCCAAACCCTGAGCTCTTCGTGCGAAAGCTGCCATGGAGCAGCCATCCTTCGCCCCAAAGCCTAGAAACCCTCAATTTGCTAGGGGTTAGTAGGGAATAAGGGAATAGAGTATATAGGGGTTATGTAGGGATGATATTAAATTAGATTATGTAGGGATTTAGGGTTTAGGGTTTAGGGTCGGAATAAGGGAATATAGTATATAGGGATTATGTAGAGGTTATATTGCATTATTCCTTACTCACCAGCAATAAGTTCAAGCCACCAGGCCTGAATCCTCACACTCCTGCAAATTCATCTCACGAAGCGCGCCTCCAAGCTTTCATCTTCAGATGTGGCTATATGAGCTATAGTCTAAACTCCTTAAAGGGGGGATATATAGGGGATTACATAGGGGACTACTATAGGGTATATTAAGGGGGATACTAGGAGTTTAGACTATGGTTCATATGTATATGTCGCGATTCCCCCATGAAGGTTCCCTTTTCAAGACGGTCCCCATAACAAGGATTATAAGATATCCGGGGTCTATCTTGTTGCCACCCTATTCTAGGAAACCACCATATGTATACGTATGTAGGAGTAGAAGTAGATTAGTAAATGGGGCGACGATTATCATAGCCGCGCTGGAGAGAACAAGAATAGTACTTACAGCCCAGAAGTCTAAACCCTAAACCGAAGTTCAAGTAGACCGCCAAACCGCAAGGATTGCATTCTGTATATGTTTTTTCATATACTTAGAACTGCACCTGTGCAACCCGTATAAGGAGTTTCCACACATAACCCGTTTAGGGAGTTTCCACACATTAGGGATCCCTTTTAGGGATTCCTAAAATAAGAAGTATAGTCTACAGGGTTCATTTTGGGGCCCCTGTGTTTGGCAAGTCCCATAGATCTTGTGAACTCTGAAAGGGGCCAAGCACGGATCAGGTCGGATAGTTCCCAAGCGGAGCACGTTCTTCCTGACCTGTTTGGGCATGCTGGTTGCCATTCCTGATGCATGAGAGAACCAACGTCGTCAAGATTCACCATGCAGAACAGGGGACGGCTGGAAACCCTCAGAGTATATGCGGTCAAAAGGGGATTGTGGGATTCCTTATCCGGGATTCTATAGGTGCACTTTGCGAGGTACTCCCGCTTCAACATGTACAACTATGATTGACTCATATTCCTGACGTCAGCCGCTTCTTATCCAACCCGATACATTAGTTTACTTGCACCTGCCTGTGTAGGATGTGGCCTGAGCTTGAATCCCCACAGCTCAATCCTACGCTTGGGCCCAGAGTCTCGCGGCCCGTAATTGCATTTGCCATCCCGTATTCTCATTGGCCGATTGCATCCTGTGAGCATTCCATTTTTTTGAGCATTCAATTTTGGGGGGTGTGTGTTCCTTTTTGACTTGCGGACCTCAGTCAGTAGGACTGGCAAATTCTGCCTTGCTTGGATACTTCCAATTTGGATTAGCACAGCAATAAACATCTTGGCTTTGTCTTCAAGAAGAGGTGTCAAAAGGACGATGGTTCCCGATAACGGGCACCGTGAACTTGTGATGTTACATGCCCCAATCATCCACTAGCTCCGACTTCTCTTGTGCCCCCAAATCCAGGAGGGTATCCCAATAATGATCACCATGCTTCCCTAGGGCTTCCGGAGTTACCTCCAGTTTTGCGAAGCCCTCACGTCACACTTATGCGAGTTTTGCGGGCTTGGTATAAGTCATCTCTGATTTCTCGGCAAGGGACAGACAAGACGATGGCATTTTTAGTGCCGAGCTTCAGGTTCAGGGAGCAGGGCCTAGATTGGCGAAGCAGCTTGGTGACTACCTGGGGAGATCTTGGTGGATATATAGCATTCAGCGCGCTATTATTAAGTAATTAACGTAAGCCCTAAACCTTAAACCC